TCCCTCCTCACCCCCTGCCTCCGCGATCTTCCCCACCACGCGTTCCAGGAGCGCCATGACCTTCCGCAGTCGCCCTAGCTTCTCTTCTCCTTCCTCCTCGCGGTGTGAGAGCGCAAGGAGGGAGGAGAGGAGGTGGTCAAGCCGGGCCTGGTCATGCTTCATCCGACTGAAGGGAAGGAGGGCGGGAGGGCGGGAGGGAGGGAGGGGAGGAAAGGGGGGAGGAAGGGAGGGAGGAAGGGACGTACTCCGGTATCAGCACACCGTAGTCGCAGGCAATCTCTTTCGTCAGATCCGAAATGAGGGGGAAATTCAAACCACCCAAACCCCCCGCCCTTGGGGAAGAAAAAGAAATGGATGAGTTCGAAGAGAAAGGCAAGAGGAAAGCGCGGGTAGGTGTCTAGCTGCACAGGGAGCTAAATGGAACACCCACAAGCCGTAATTTCCGTGCTCAACGCCCTCGATCCACCCTTCTCTTCTTCCCCCTCTCCCACTGTCTTTCCGCATGGCCTCCTCCCCCCCCTCCTCCCTCCCTACTTGCGCGGGCTCCTGCTCCATGCCAAATGGCTGTACTTCGAGTCGACGGAGAGCCCCACCACGTCGGCGTTCAGGTCGTGGAATTCCTGGATCCGGTCAGAGAAGGCGATCAATTCCGAGGGACAGACTGCAACGGGGGGGGGGAGGGAGGGAAGAGGAAAGACGGGAAGAAAGCGCGAGGCGTGAGGGAGGGAGGGAAGGAGGGAGGGAGGAGGAGGCAATCATGGCGGTCGCACGGGGAGGGAGGAACCCAAACCCCCCGATTATGAGGCCGACGGGGGTGGGACTGCACGAGAGGGAGGAGGGAGAGGAAACGCGGCAATGGAAGAAGGGGGGGGGACGTACCAAAAGTGAAGTCGACTGGAGGCGGCATCGCGCGTGGGATGGGCGTATAAAGAGAGAGGGAGGGTACCCGCAAGGAATTAGTCAACGTGGGGTGCCTGCAGCGACGTCTTCCAAAGGCACGGGTTGCTTCCCACCTCCCCTGCTTCGCGCCATTCCCCGCCCTTCCCTTCCCCCTCCTTCTCACGTGGGTACATGACTAGAATCACATAACGGCCCCTGTACTGCTTGAGCGACAGCTCTTTGAAGGAGCCGTCGGGCATGACGGCCTCGGCTGCAGAAAGAAAGAAAGAGTACGTCCCGGACAGGGGAATACCACGTGAGCACGCTTCGACCCGGCAGCAGAGGAGGGTGCACGCGCTACCCGACGCGTACGAAGAAGATTGTGTAACAATGCAGGCGTACCTTTAATATCAGGAGCTGGCTTCCCTATCATGGGCACGGGTTTATTCGTCGCCATTGTCCCTGAGACTGACTGGGCCAAGGTGACGGGAATGGAGGGGCACGACAGAAAGGAGAGGGCTAGGGTACAGAAAAAAGGAAAGAAAATGTCCTTGATCATAAACTTTGATCTTATCTGCCACTTTCGAACGCGCCGTGAGGTCTCACACGCTGGCGAAATTATTTGACGAAAGTGGAGCTGAAGTCCCTCGGAGCCTTGTACTCCTGGTCGCGTGGCTGTGAAGTAGATCGGAAGGAATGAGGGGTAGAGGAATAGCTCTTGGTCGCAATAAGTCCACAATCATGTTCTTGGCTGTCGTGTCCATATTCGGGGGGGGGAGGTCGAGGTCTGCGGAAGGATTAGCACGTTCAACTTGCGACAATGCACGGGGGCAATGGTGCCGGTGACGCTTACAACGCATCGACGCAAGAAGTTTTCAAGACTTATGGCGCGGGAGTGGAGAGAGAGACAAATGCTCCGTTATTGACGCCTGCAAGGCAGGCTTGGAGGGGGACTGCAGGGACCAGATTTCCCGTAGTGGTCGTGCACGAAGGAATCTGTCGCTCAACATCATCTCGCCGGTCACGACACTTTGCACTTCCAACACATGACTCCACCGGAGACTACCTGCGGAGCCTAAGCATCGTGGGAAGGCTTATGGCCTGTGTTACCGTCCCGGCGCCATCTCATCTTCACATCCGGGTATCCGAGAGGGCGACGGCTGTCAGCGACGGGGAAAATGGCAGAGTGTGTCTGACGGAATGTGAAGGTGACGGGGTCACGACGCTTTCGTCACAGGTGACAAGCATTTAATTCATTCACTGTGTGGTTGATAACCCTAACTCTTTCAGGAATGGTATGGTGCAACTCTGGTAGCATCGCGAAGATTCTTGACTTGACCAGTTCATCCACGCCGATCCACTCATGAATGAAGAGCGGGCGCGTCGAGTTGTTCTTAACGGGTGAAAAATTATGTTATGCGGCATACGATATTTTGCACGTGTTTGTGACATTATTCCTGCTTTTCTACTTTCTACTCCCTTTGTCTTTCCGCCACGGAATTTGCTTGCGAGGGCCTTCTCCTCTCTGCTCGATCTCGCCTATCGTCGTTACAGTCCGCTATACGTCCTTGATCCAGCACTTTTGCTAACCGAATGTCCTGCAGAGCTTGACCACAAATGCAAGTTGCTGCCTCGAAAGGATCTCGCGCTGGTGGATGTGTGATGTCTTTTAGCAGATGACCACTCGACCTGCAACTGATCAGTGAAGCACGCGAGACATAGCATCAAACGTACACAAAGAAGGCCAAGTATGTCAAATCATCGTCAGA